ACTTATATAACGCTTTATATACGTTTATTTACGTATTTCTACACATGCATACGCTATATTCAACCCTGAATCCTCATTAGGGCCAAACGTATTGGGATATGAGATTTTATCTATAGTGTTCACAGAGTCGAATCTATTACTCTTTGATTAGTCAAACTCTACCTATATCCCAATTTCTCCTTATCAATCTGTTACTAAAAATAGCTCTAGGTCACTTTAAAATTGTGGTAAATTTTCATCAACACGAATATATTGACACTTTACATACTAAACACATTCATGTTTTAGAAATTTTTATGATGGAATCTCATTTGAATTTTATTTTGAATTTTGATTGAATATTTTGTCAAATTAATTATACCAGAAGTGAATATTTGCAAAGGATAATTTTTGTCAACTGAAGTAAAGTCATAATTCATCATATACATTAATATGTTATTTTTAATGACCAATCGCATTTAAATTTATTTTCATTGAATACATTTCTGTGACTCAATATTTCATGGTTTTATATCATAAATATAATGCTCAAATGAAGATTTATCAATATTGTAAGTTCAAAAAAGCATTATTTGTAAAGATATTACCAAATTTACATTTCATGTTAATAAAGGTAGATAATTAGAAATTCATTTTCTATAAAGTCTAAGTCAATTTTTTCAATAAGAAATGAATGCATATATTTAAATGATTACATATAATGTCGACAAGTATTTGCAGTACATATTTTACATATTCTTCGATGTTTAAAAATTGTTTTAAAAGTATAACTATAGACATAGTTATATTACTAAAGTGTGGTAACAACTTAATTTACAACAGACAGGATCTTTTAAATTAATTCATTTTTTGTATATATTCAGTAAGAATTTCATGGATTTCAATACATGTCTGTGATACAACTATTCTACTCAAGGATGAGCATAGTATATTTTTATAAAATCAACAATCATGGATGAATCATAGCTTTATGTATCCTCTCATTTTGTTATCTTTTGTCTGACACGAGTGAAGTTATGTATGTAAAATATGTAAGAAATATTTGAGCCGCGTCACGACAGAACCAACATAGTGCATTTGCGACCAGCATGGATCCAGACCAGCCTGCGCATCCGCGCAGTCTGATCAGGATCCATGCTGTTCGCTATCAGTTTCTCTACTTGTTATATAGTTGGTAAGTGAACAGCATGGATCCTGATCAGACTGCGCAGAGGCGCAGGCTGGTCTGGATCCATGCTGGTCACAAACCAACTATGTTGGTTTTGCCATGACGTGGTTCATTTAATTTATTATCAGATACTAGTAAAATATTTATATCATTGGTAGATAACCAGGTATATTCTACAGTCGTTTACGTCCTCAGAGTTACCTTTCCTAAGTATCTAATACTCTTGTGTATGTATGCTTTTATTTATTATTAGATTTTAATGTTTTCAGAGTACTTTATCACCGTAATTCTTTCAATTTCATCTCAATCAATGATTACATGATTTTCATTCTAACTTTATTCCTTGATGCTTATCTTTCTCCTGATATAAACGTCAATACGCTCATAACTTGACTAAGATATTATCTGCATGTTATTCTTTGATGTTTCAATATGAATTATAAACAATCATTTTTACAAAAGCAAAATATGTAAAACTTGGCAAATATAACTATAACTTGTTTCTCATCAGGCTAGAAAAGTTTGAGTTTAGGGTTTGAGAACGCCACTGAGCATGTGCACCGCTAGATTGGTATTTTTAAATAATGACGTCATTTCGAGTGACTAAAAATGTGCGTAATTAGGTATGCAAAAACTGTTGAAAATGGGTTCATACCGTATCCGATGCTTTTTACGGCATTACCAGAAGTCGCTGTATTGAAAATAAAAAATAATTCAAACAATGCATTGTAACAAAATTTTATTTCTCAGCATTAACAAAGCATAATATTGTGTCAGCAATAAATAGAATGTAAAAACAGCAATGAAATATGAATGAGAGAATATATTACAATATAATCATCATAACAATAGTACAGTCCACAAAAGGTCACCAGGGACTGTACTACAACAAAGATGTATAAAAAGAACGCAAAGGCAAAAGAAGGGGATTAAAAGGAACTCCACTGAGGTAAAAAACCAAACATTCTTGAAATTTCAATTTCTTACATAGATAAGCAGTGGGTTTTCAAACAGAAATATATGTAAAAGCTGAAAATATTACAAATACTTATTCTTGTCCCGATTTGGTTGAAAGGCGTTGCAATGCTGTTCATTTTTGGGTCATTTTTCACAATTGGAATAAGTAGTCTGGACAAAATGGAGTGAGTGAATGATCTGAAATTTTGCATACACGTTATTTGTCGAGACCTTCATCAAATGAATCGTTACACTGAAAATTATTTCCAATCCCGTCATGTCAGGTTAAACCCTCAGTGGAGCCCCTCTAATTATAATGATGGACCACAAACAACAAGCATATTCGATAAAAATACAAAAGTTTAATTCTAAAACGAAGCAACGCATGGACAACGATTTTAATATAAAATAATATCTGACCGATACATATTGACAAATATTTTAACTATATACATTCTAAATTGATTGTTATACCTATAAATTAATACCTATAATTTAATCACATGATTTTGATATTTATTGATATTATAAGTTATATAGCTGTTAGCCAGGTTATATACAGTCATATTACATGTCAGGAATATTTATAACGAATTTATAAACACCAAACTTCCTTTCTGTAGACAGAACTGAGATTGCTGTATAATTTGACATCAGCCCTATAAATTATTAGTTATAAAGATCGTTGACAGGTTAAATGGCCCTATATAAACGGCTATTTGTAAATATAACCCGAGCCTTGAGGCGAGGGTTATATTGCAAACAGCCGTTTATATACGGCCATATAACTTGTCAACAATCTTTATAACGAATTTATAATACAGCAAGCATCATTTTTATAGAAAAAAGTAAGATTTCTTCATGAATCTACAGCAGCCGTGTATATAAAACTATATAAACGTCACGATTATCCAATGAAAAATGACGTTACAAACGTGCAGTATTATAAAAAACAATATAAAGGTCACTATTATTGATAATTGTACAAAAATATTACTGTAACTGAGGAACGTGTAAAATACTGTCAACATAATCAGTCATCGTCAAAAAAGAGATACTCTGGAACTCGGTTAATGTGGGGTTTGTAACAACTTTAAGTGACATTTTGCTCATTTTTTCGTTATTAAATTGAGCTGAATTAACTATATATTTCAAAAGATTGACTGTTTTGTATAATGGTGATTAACCAACAGTTAATATTTGAAAATATTCATGTTAAAATAATAAACTGCCAAAATTATAAAGAAAATAGACTGCCATACTCTTTTTATTAATTGAACGTTGCAGGGACATTCCCATCGACATTTACAGAAATGTCATTGGGCCGCGTGAGTTATTTATCATTCATACGAAGTAAATTATTTAATTGAAAGGAATTATGACAAAATGTTAACTTATTGACTTATTTTCTATTAGATGGATATAACGTCACCTTATAGACACTCGTATATAGATAATAAATGCATTACGTTGATCACTCGTTGTATAATGGTAGTACACCGTTAAACTATAAGGGTTTTATTTTGTTTATATCTCGGGATATGAAGGGGGAAACCCCACTTATGCCGATTTCCGGATAACATTGATTGATAATATAGGGCAGATATGATAACAAATTTTGATGATTTTAATGACACTTCAATCACAAATAGAAATAAAAACAAACTTTTATAACGCGTCGTTCAACAACAAGCATTTGACAGTAGCAGCTTAAATGAAGCATACTAAGTTTCAGAAAATAGCGATTAATTATCACAATAGTCTACTGCAATTTTAATTAAAGCATCATGCCTCCAGATTCATGGTAATTTGCATGATTTCTTATAAAACAATGAATTAAATAGTAAAACATTGTCAGTTCAACAAAGGAACTACTAAAAAATCGCAAACGGCCCTTTAAAATCTATAAATAATTTAAAAAAAAACACCAAAATTAGCTCAGAATAGGAAAATAAAGCCCTTACTACGTTAGTCACGAAGAAGAACTGTGGTGATGAACACTACAACATATGAGCCGTGTCACGACAAAACCAACATAATGGGTTTGCGACCAGCATGGATCCAGACCAGCCTGCGCATCCGCGCAGTCTGATCAGGATCCATGCTGTTCGCTATCAGTTTCTCTACTTGTAAAGGGGTTGTTAAGCGAACAGCATGGATCCTGATCAGACTGCGCGTATGCGCAGGCTGGTCTGGATCCATGCTGGTGGCAAACCCACTATGTTGGTTTTGTCATGACACGGCTCATATAAAGTATTTCTTAAATTGTGATTACTTTTCGTACATTTTTCTCTTCATTGATTTTCTTGATTGTTTGGTATTCTGCAGGCACAGAGCTATATCAAAAATTGTGTTGAAACATTAATCTTTGAAAGAATTTTGTATATCAAATGTGTCTGCTGCGTAAAATTAATTAATTATACTTAACAAAATGGAATAACACATAAACCAAGATCATGTAGATGTGTCTTAAGTTCCTAAAAACACAAACCAAAAGGATATTTAATATTGCCTGAAATGTTATTTAAAATCTACAACTGCTCGGTCAATTTGGCATGCTGCAAATCTGTCCTTGCACGTTTTCGTCATCAAAAAGTAGAGATTTATTTAATGTTCAATTTAATCTAACTTTAACATTTAAAACAGGATTGGATAATCTATCTTGTGAAAATGTAAAAACATCATGGGTTTGCGACCAGCATGGATCCAGACCAGCCTGCGCATCCGCGGAGTTTGATCAGGATCCATGCTGTTCGCTTACAAACACTATAACAAGTAGAGAAACTGATAGCGAACAGCATGGATCCTGATCAGACTGCGCGGATGCGCAGGCTGGTCTGGATCAATGCTGGTCGCAAACCCATTATGTTGGTTTTGTCTTGACACGGCTCATTTATTCATGCAGTTACCAAATTGCTCCAAAAGCGGTGTACAATCGCTTATAATTAACATTATTTCTTCACGATATACATCTGCTAACCCTTGCATGTTCAAAAATATATCATGGCCTGCCTTACAAGATAAATGTAAAATTTTGCTTATTTAGGCGGAGAAAACCCACTTAATTTGATACAATATCAAATGTTGCATGATAATACGAAAATCATGTATATCATAAGTTTACTTGCCACATCAAACTTACATCTTTGACTGTTACCGTTATACGGTACTAGATAATTTGGCCCCGTGTTCACAAAGAAAAGTTTCCGGATCGGGATCAAAACTTAAGAAAATAACATTGGTGATGTTAAAGCTTAAACAAAATGCCAAAAACGTTATTTTGCTCTATGATTTCATAAACCTGCTATTTCAAGTCTGTTTCTATTAAATAAATACTTGAAATTAATTATACGATATTAATCAATGGTATGTTTTTAGTTTGATCTAAAGCTTGGTCCTGATGCTTAAATCTTAGTGAACACAGGGACTTATGATGAAATTAACATAAAGTTTATATGTCTTAATACCAACTGTCCCGTGAACATAACAGAACAATGCTGCACCACATTAGTAATGGTACAGATTCCTGCATGCGGACAGCTGGAGAAGAAGGTTTACTGGTCGTCTCCTTTGTAGAAGCTGACGCGGTCGTAACTGTTGTAGTTGTCGATGCTGTAGTTGTAGTTGTTGATGCTGTAGTTGTAGTTGTTGATGCTGTTGTCGTTGTGGTTTCACCGAAGTTATTGTAATACTCTCCAAGAGGTGTAAACTCTGGCGAGCCAGATTCAAATAAACTAACAGCTGGCTTCACAAACATCCAGGTGTTCTCCAGTCGTGAAATGTACCAAGCATATCTGTTAAAATACAAATTTTTAAATCTAAAAAGCTACTGCGTCGAAAAGTGATTTTGGTCAATAATATCGATCTGTGCGGAACGGAGATTATCGGCCATGTAGCACCGGTTTGGGGTTTTAGAGCTGTAAATCCGATATGGTGTCGATTCTAACAAGATCACAAAAATTGATTTATAAGGATGATAACTAACGCTTTATTTAGAGATTTTCCGATATTCATATTTGACAGTTTTATTTCGCATCATTCTTTGGTTCTGATAAACACGAAATAAGTAACATATTCGTTGTTTTATAAATACAGCATATTTTTTACATTTCTACTATGGTTCTTTTCTACTCAAACTTTATATCGACTAGATTCTTAAATGCAAGAACATCCTCTAAGTAAAAACCTTCTTCCGACGGACGATAGATAGCGTGCTTTAAAATGACGTAATTTCGACTCCATTTAAAAATGGCTGTCATTCGGCCTGTTAGAAATCTATAATACATCGATTTATAGATATGAAAATAAAATTGTTGTATATAATATGTCTGTGAGATGACATTTAAGCATGATATGAAAAAACAGTCGCATATATATATTTAAATACAAATGTACCTTTTTCATGGCGCGTAAGTGGTAGTCATTGATAGTTAATCACTTACTATTTTTTCCCTTTTCGTAATAAAATCTTTAATACAACATACAATTTAACCCATTACTTCATGAGCATTTGCACAGACACTTGGGGTTTGGAGCTCAAAACGCCTTTAAAATCAAATGCATATTTGTCAATCCCAGCACATGTACTGATCATATATATAAAAAAAACTTAATATAAGCCGTTTTGAAAAAAAATCATATTACAACATCTATAATAACACACAAGATAAAAATGTTCGCCGGAAAAAATCCGCACCCCTACCGTCATAATCACCATGTATTTTATTCCATTTCCAATATTTTCACATAATCCTTTGGTCCATCGACACAGAAGATATAATTCTTCACGATGATGGTCAATTTTAAACTTCAACGGTAATATAAACAACGCAACAGCCGAAATAAACATCAAGATTATCGCCGTTTTCCTCCAACTACAAAATCTTTCGATAAATTCAATGGACCAGACGGCTATGAACGAAGCTATCCGATTATGTGGTTCCCAAACTTAAAAGCGCTGCGCATTTTGCACACGGCAAAGCTGGGGCCACATAATCGGATAGCTTCGTTCGTAAAAGACACATTTGATTTATTACTTAGATCCTCGCTAAAACTATGATGATATGGGGTAATCATTACTGTGACCTACATATTTATATTTCAAGTAATAATACAAGATATTTTTCCTTTAATATACAATCACGTTCTTACAGTGAATATGTTATGACTATTACAAAAAATAGTAGACAATACCTAAAGATGTATGGTGCTTCTTCTAGTCTTGGCAATATCGCTTTCATGAACTCTAAAACGATTGCAGGGTCAGTTTCTGCAGGACATGCAAACTCGGTAACCCAGATTAGTAAATTAAAGTCCTCGTACAGTCCAGAAAGGTAGTTCATCACCCTATCTGGGTCGCAATAGTATACGTGTGTGGCGAGATAATCAACTCTGCATCCATCACAGAACTTAAAGAAATCAGAAAACCAGGCCGTCACATTGTCTCCCTGACAGTTTTTACCGCACGGAGCCGCTGCTGGACTGACGAGTTTTCTGTCCGTTGTGGCAACGGCCTCTACTTGTGGCCATAGTTCGGCTGCTTGTCTTGAAGTTAAGTTAGATTGCGCCTGGTGGTTCGGCTCGTTGAAACCGAGGAAATATTTTGCCTGAGGTAAAACAATGTAGTTAGGAAATGTACTACCATTCCCCCAAGACATGGGCACGTGCATGTCAATGTAAGCATCGTAATCTGTGCAATTGTTCAGGCGCCGCTGTTTGTCTCCATTTGCACCCCAATCATACCTGCGAAGAGGGAACATTTTTTAATATTATATAAAGGTAGGATATTGTTGAAAATAAAAAAAACTGCAATTAAAGTTTCAATGAAAACATTTGAGATTAAACATTTTACGCGTGTCAAATTACATAACGTATACACAATTTAAAACCAGTTATTCCACAAAAACATACTTTTGCTGAATAAATCGAGTTATCAAAGTTGGTAAAATTACGGGCTGCCAGTTATGTGCAAAGACAAGACAGTTTTGATTCTAACCTATTAGATATTGTGTTATTATTGTACTTTAAAGAACATTCTAATTTTTAGTATTGTGAAGTTGAGCTGAAATGACTAGTATTTCAAAAGATTGACTGTACCAACAGTTGATATTGGAAATTTTAAGTATATACTATAATATGCCTTTAATATAAAAATAATGTTCCATTCTTTTCATAAATTGAACATGACACAGGTAATTTCCGATGTATATTCATAAACATTTCCTTGACTCATTTATCGTTCGTTTGAAGTAAATTATAAAATTGAAAGGAATTATCGCAAACTGCATTTCAGCTATTCACTAACTATATACCCTTTGATTGATATAATGCCACTATATGCGGATGCTTACCACCAAGATATTCCTGTCAGTTTTGGTAGGTCAGTGCATGTGAACAAAGCAGGTGCCATTCCAAGTCCTTTCTTTACTGTGCATTCGCCAACATTGCAGAATAATCCAACAAAAACAGAAACTGCTACACAGACAGGTTTTGCCATATCTACACAAAAATACAGAAAACAACGTGATTTTATTGGTGGCAACGCTATATAATTATTATAACATGGAACCGAAAGAGATTCTTCTTAAGCCAGGCCAACATACGTACATATCCATGAATTTTTGCCAGGCTTTATACCGAAGCTTGTTCAGGTTTTGAACTTTAATGCGTATATCCCTTTATTCCTGGAACCAATGACTTATATGCAGTTGAATAAGGTTCAGTGTTTGGGCATTCATAATAAAACCGATTTTTATGTAATAACAGTTAGTGAACATGATTATTATATATACAAATGTATATTCTTTATTTGATTCTCATCCATACATAACAACATAACAACAATTCAATTACATTATTTTACAATATAAAAGTTTTTTTGTGTACGGCCATTCTAATCAGAATTACGAGAAACTTTTAAAGCAACCTAATAGAAGGGAGGCAACTCTGTTAGATTTTATTTCAAAAGATAAAGTATAAAAATATGATTATTCATAGCTAGGACAAATAGATCGAAACCCAACTGTCTTATGAACGTAAATCTCCAGTTAACCATTGTCTAGTTATATTTATTTGCGAATTATCTCATCCTTGTATATTTGTTTTAATTCCTACTACATGTATCATGAATGTTTAGCAATGTTATTTTTCTATAAATACAATTTTCTATTAAAATTTATTAGATAAACCGATAGTTCAGTAATTATTATTTAAAAAATGATTGGTATTATTTTTTAACCTTCTATAGTAGCTGTACATGTTTCGCCCTGTGGTATTTTCGATTACCCGCCGTGTAACAGCAACTTCGTTTATTTGCTTATTATTGCAAACATTGCATTACTATGTATGTGTTGTGCCATTTTGGAAGCACATCTTTTATTTTTGACATTTGATCAGAAGTATAGGTCAAGTTAAATCTTATATCAATATATTTTGTTTTTCTTTTGGTCATACTTATTTTTGTAAATTACACAAAACATGTACACGTATATTTTGATAGTTTGCATGTGTCGCTTACACACTTAACGCTTGTAAAGTACAATTAGATAAGTTTAAATACAATGTAAAATGCATTAAGTCATACAATTAATTAAAAACCGAATTTTCACATTAAAGTTAAGCCTAGACTGAAATCAGACATTATTTAAAAGCCCATTATGCCTCAGAAGTGCCATCATTATTATTCTCAATCTTTTTTATTGTTAAAGTTTCCAAAAATACTCATTTGCTATAAAATTGAATTATCTTTCGTTTCTTTTGCTCTGTTGGTCAGGGGTATAATCACAGTGAAAGAGTTATTTGTATTGAAGTCAAAATACTACATTTTGCTATCGTTTCATGACATTAATACTGCATATTCAGCGCAACTTTCTTCAGTTGTTAATTTATAATATACTTTAAATCCATTATTAAACATTATTTAAAACATGTGAAACATTTCTAAAAAAAAAATTTTAAAATATGGATTTCTGTGGCATTTTTAATAAAAAAAAAGTCTTTAATAAAAAAAAAGAAGTTTAATGCTAACTTATCATAAAACTAATTGCGCCAGAGAGTATCATGAGATCGCATATTAAAATATACTTAAATACTGTTCCTTTTAATGTTTCCATAATAGTTTAATATTTGTCTTTTATACTACGACAGTGATTAGTCCCTAGTAATATAAACGTTGTATCAACGTTTTTGATTTTTTATTACTTGATATTAATTTGCAAACACTTAATATGCATGACATTAATGCATTTACGGGACTTATTGTTAAAACAGGATATTGATGTAGAAGAAAAAATTATAAAAAATGTGGAAAACATTTAATTTTATAAAATTCAAAAGCAATACAAAGCTATAAGCTATATAACTTTCAATGAAGTAATCTAAACACATAATTTGATTATCATTTAGTCGATGCAACATTTTTTTGAATTTGTTTATATATATTAAACAACGGATTTTTTTTTAATTTCTGGTAAGCCTGAAAAAGTTGTTAAAAAGTTGATTATTTGAAATACCTGATTATACTTTTTTCCTATGATTTACATATTTTGTTTTGTGTATTATTCTAGATTTCTTTATATAAAGTGACATTTTGCTCATATTTTCCTAGTCAAGTTGAACTGAATTGACTTTATATTTCAAAAGATTGACTGTTAGAATGATGTTTGACCAACATATGATATTTGAAAATGTTTAGGATAAGATTATAAATCTGCCTAAAATATAAAAAGACTGCCCCACTCTTTTTATAAACTGAACGGTACACGTAAATTCTAATGGATATTTACAGAAAATTCCTTAAGATCCGTGTGTTATTTATAGTTTAAATTTTTTAAATCAAAAGGTATTATTGCAAAATGAAAACTTATTTATTTATTCACATGTCCACGCATTATATACCCTTGGATGGGCATAATGTCACTTTAATCAACTTATCCAGAACAGTTTTACATATATCAATATTGTAATTATTTCCTTTTATTCTAAAAAGTGAAGATTAAGTATACTTTAATAGCGCAGTTTTTTTATTATTTCATCGGATGTAAATAATGATCGGATGATCTGCAATTTTTATTAAAAAATGAAAACAAAAATCATTGATGCATTTCTTGTTGTTTAAATACCATTTCAATACTTCAGAATATGTAGGTTAATAAAAATTATCAAATTAAAAAATAAGATGCATGTAGCTGATTTCATATTTCAATCATTATACAAGTTCATAATTATAATTCTTAAAAATCATACAAGTGGTAATATATTCAAAGAATAAACTCACCTCTGAAAAGGACTTTCTATTGTTAAAACGAGCAACTTCTTTGAATGAAAATTGTTAATAATTCCGTCTCTTGTTTGATAACTTATAATTATGGAAAATGATATTGACCATATTATTAAAAATAAAATACTTTCAGTCAAAGTATCAGTTTAATTTGTAGTTTTGAAAAATAAAATAATTTTGTATTTAAATTGATGAGAAATAATTTGTTTCACTGCCCTGTACACAACACCATCACACATCGATTATGACGCTACGACTGATTAAGGCGCAAATAAATTCATCATTCAATAAATATAAATAACCGTTAAATTCCGCAAACCATTTCGATACAGTTACTACATCGAATTAATTTATTTACAAGCGTGACGGGTCCATCCTAAAGAATCGCACATAAAAGCAAATGTATTGCCGTGCTTTAATTAAGTACGATCGGATTAGTAAATTAATCACCTTTCAGACCATTGACATGACGGTTCAGTCGTCCGGTTGAAGGATATGGCTTTGAATGTTTTTACTTATTGTCAGTCATTACCTGTTTATTAATAATGTAGGGTGTTACTACATCTATTGATATGCATTACATCTCTAGTAAGTCAAAACATAATCTTACATTAAAGTTTACTATTAACTAAGCTTTATATTGATTTCAAGAGTATAAGCGTATACAAACTAGTCGCCAACACAGCTTTCCGTCACGATTTGCAACTTTAATAATGCATTACAGGGAAACTTGGTATCTTGCAATTTACGAAACAAAAGAGACGGAAGTTACCGCACCGAGTACCTTGGATATCATGTTTATTAACAATGCTTTACAGCTTTCGGATATGATACAGTCTGTTCTATAAAAGTAAAACATGATCAATCGATTTCTATAAAGTGGTCCATGGTGATTTTAGTGTCATTGGCTCAAAGGCGATTCTGTATCCATTACTTTTCATATTGTTCTTTTAAAAGACTAAAATCAACTGATGAAATTCAAAATAAGGATGAGGTTTTCCTGAGAAGAAATCTTTTTTTAAAACATTTTCTTTCACTCTGATATTTGTTTTAATTTTTCTTCAATGTATGTAATGAAGATTAAATTTATAAAAAAGACAGTTTTCTTTTGAAATTCCAGGTATAAAAATGTTACCCCTTGCTAGACGCCATTTAGTATTGTTTTAACTTCCTATCATAGCTAATCTTAATTAAAAAATATTTAAACGTATAATGACCGGGATGAAATTATAGATATATCTCAACAAAAGGGAAATCAAATTAAAATATCATATCCATAGACAAAATGCACAATTTTCAGCTTAAATGCCCAAATGTTTTTTTTTACTTTTTGCGGGTTTTGGGTATGGGTTAATATGGCCTTGGGTTTTTTTTATAATATTTTAATGTCAGTTTCATATAAAAACCAATTAATCATTTTAAAGTTATCAGTATTGCAGTTGATACCCTCTGAACGTTTAAACATATGATTGATTACTTTCTACTTAAAAAAATCTAAAATGACAGATAATTAGACTTCATTGCATATTCTTTATCAACGCTATTCACAAACAAATAACAACATATTTGATGCAATATAATATTGCAATATGATATTAATGAAATCATATCTGATTAAGAACTTCACTCAATTTTGTTCGATACAATATTCAATTTATTCATAAATTGACAAGTATACAACTTTCATGTTACGCTTATTGCGCAGTAGTTATTCCAGCTATATCCACATAAATATTTATAGCAATTTGTTTACAAACTCGTAACATGAAACTATGATATTGACAAACAACAAAGCAACATGCTTAATAAAAAATAACTAGCAGTTAATGATATTTAATAATATTGTTCTTGTTTTTTTTCCAACATGTTGTTAATTAATCAAATTCGATATTGTCGCAGAGTTATCTAGCTAACACCTTTTATTTCACACTTAAAGTTTTAATTTTAGACCACATTGGAATACAGGATGAAACGAACGTTTTTGGGTTGTATCACTAGTTACTTTCAACTATAATGTCAAAACAAAAACTCAAATCAAAGCATAAATTTATACCAAATTGTTCTTGGCAAAAATGTATGAAAATCATGATTTGGAGTTAACATAAAGTTATGTTTACCCGCCTATATTAAGCTTTAACAAACAACATGTCTCGAATGTTCCATTACAATTGAAGAATTTGCAGTAATTTACTATTGGTGTGTGTGAAAGAAATATTTCACATAGGTTATATCAAAGAACTCATTAGTACAAATGTGGAATAAATATAATTTCATTTCATGGTCAAAGAAATAAATAGTGAAAAAAAATAATTTGAAAAGAATTGAACGTATTTCAATTTAATTAAGTTAAAAACAAAGTGAAAATTGGTATTCTCCGTGAATATTCAGTGTTGCATGACATTGAAATAACGCAGCATTTGTGCAGAATCATCGCTGGACATATACACAACTATGGCCCAAAAGTACTTGGACCAAAATACTTAAAAATAAATCAAATTTTAAGCAACGTATACATGCATAAGGCTGCTATGGCATTTGTTGATATCTTCTTACAGTTATAAATACTCATTTGTCACACCGAATAATCTTTTGCTTTTTATTCTGTGTTGGTAATGGTAATTGGTATGACTATAGTGAATTAGTATTTTCGATGGAAATCAAAATACTATTTTGTTAATTGTCTCAGTTACGTTTTGTCTGCTTATGTCAGTGTTATGCGACACAATAACTTTTACTGATTGTCAACACCAATAATGTGATAAAATAATATACTGACAAATAAAAATTGCTGCATTTAATACACTACCAAGATCGTCAATCTAGTGAATTTTCAATAAAAAAACAAATACTTTTCAGAACAAAACAAAAATCCTAAATATGCTTTTTTAAAATAATAGTTTACTCAATTTAACTGACAAGAAAATATATTGGTTCATTTACTCACATTGGTGATCGTTTTAGCCATTGTTTCTTCCACGAAAAAGAGTTATAGTACTAGAATGGGAAAATGGCTTTCAATACAAACAAAATGTTATTTGTAAAGGAATTGTTACTATTTTATTTTCTATTTTTCAACGAGTTGAGAAATAAATAAGAGCGAATAATCAATTAAAACGGTGATATTTATTTTTATTTCATAATAGATTGATGACAGATATGTAGGTCTATTACAGTTAGTATAAAGTCTATAAATGAAATAACTTTGAAATGCTTTTTGCACAAAAAGGATATAGAGTTCTTACGAATATTTCAAGAATAAGAATGATGTAAACGTGCGTTTCTTCTTTATTAAAATTGTTTTTACATAACAAATACCATAACTTTGTTTTCTGCCTTCAGATCCTTGTTATATGATTATGCCAATTGGGCTTGGACTGTTTTCTTTTACCATGCTGGAAATTATATTGATATATATACATTGTACTATCAAACCTTATCAGAGTTAACTCTTTTTAAGTAAATAATGATATGAAACATATTATTCATCTAATGACCAATAAACACACACTTGTTAAATATATTTACATTATCGAATTTATAGATAAAATAACAAAGACAATACAAATTCCTTGTCAGCGAACCAAATTTAAACATCAAAAGATAATGTTAATAATATGATAGTCAAAGAAGAGAGCATCAGTCTGTATTCTTTTGAATTGATTGTATTGATTGAAATACATCGTAAAATCAGATCTTTTTAACTCTCATGACATTAGAAAATAGATTGAGTTCTAAAGTACGCTTTTAAATTCAATTTGTAATAACATAACCATGAAATCTTCAAAGCACCCATATGCCATATATTGAATGCCTTACATAATGAAAAAGATAAAATCGTACAAAGTTTCTTTGGCAAATTTTGCTCTTGTAATTTTGTATAAATATCGTATACATGAACACGCACGTTCTCGTGTAACGTCTAGTTACGATAATACAAATTTATACCCCCTTTTTAATACAGTAAATTATAAGTATGAACATTTATTCATTGTTAGTTTTGTTGTTGTTGTTGCTTTATTGTTGTTGTTTTTGGAATTTTGCATTAAAGGTTCCATGACTACCGTCGGTGCTATGGGGCGTGGACGTTACATTACATTTTCCAGTACTGTCCATGAACAGGTTCAACAAAACCAAACCTGAACAATTTTTAATTTTGCTATTTTTGGCGTTCTTAAGGGATTCTGTTTTCTCTCTATATTAGCATTCAATAATGATAAAGTAGTGATTAAGAATGCAAATTCGTTTAACATCTGTGGATGTTTTGAAATTCAATTTTTCACCATATTCATGTTCAAATGTTGAATTCTGCTAAAGTCAGGGCTAAGAGGCATTTTCAGTTTTGTCGTTACGGGGGCGCTTTAGGGATTCTGTGTTTCTCTATTTTAATAAACTATTGTGCAAACTATCATGCAGAACTATAAACTTTACAAAAGCTACCTAGATAGTTTCATCATATTATTGTAAGATTTTATAACATTTTCATTTTATTTTGTACAGTACGTTTACACCGTATATACCCAGTAAGGCAGAAGTGTGAAGGTAACGCAGGAATTCTGTAATAGTAGCACATTATCTTTTCAAATCATCGGCCGACATAAGGAACATGTAAGACATAACTGGACTTACACGGCGGTTTATATCTTCGTTTTTGAAATTCTAAACACTGTCAAGATTTAGGTTTCGAAAATTGCTGAATTGTTATTGAAATATGTTTAACTATCAACAAAAACATTAAAAGTTTCACATATAATTATTGTAGCATTATTACTTACACCATGAATAAACAAACAGAGTTTTTACAATTCACCAATTCTTTTGCGTACTTTGTTTGTTTCATTTTTTTTCCTTTTGTCTCGTATGCCCATTTCAGCACTTTTTTGTCAGACCTCGGCGGTTGATCAACCTCACCAGCTTTTCTGCTTTAATTAAAAGTTGTAAATCTATTCTGTGTCAGTGGTGAGGGACAGATGACGACGTCTTGAAAAATTTTCTAACCGCACGAGGATCGAGCCATGGTCCCTTTGATTACAAATCTAGTGTTCTCTGTATTGGTCCGTTAAAATACGATCGCGTTTCAACACAAGATGAAGTCTTGCAATCTATTACGTGATAGTGTAAATTATCGTCTTATTAATTTTTTCTATAAATGAATATTTTCTGATGTATCATCCTGTAATAGCTTCCTCAGTTTCATATGGCGATGATCATTTGTTTGTTTGTTTGTTTGTTTCATTTTACGCCTTTTTCAACAGTATTTCAGTCATATAGGCGGGTAGTTTCCTAACCATCGTTCCTGGAGAGTTACACCAGTACTAGACAACCTTCCTCCGCGCTAAACTACCAAAGCATCTCCCGGGGATCGAAC